CAAAAATGTGTAAAAATTGTTGAATGGAAAACTGAGTTGCTCTGGAGACAAATGGAAAATCAATTTGCTCTGCAAACTTTCAACCAAATCACAATCGACAGTTGAGAAAACTTGAAACTAAGAGATGATGATTTGACAGAGATGACTGCAAAAGAGGACAGGAGACAAGAAATATTGCTGCTTTTCAGAGAAAAAATAAAAAGTTGAAGGAAGACAGAAGTCTGGCATAATTTCATAATCTTGGGATAATCACTATTAACAAGGTAGGATAAATAGATTTCATTGTGATAAAAGATACTGAATTTTTATTAAGTTGGCATTTGCATTCTAAATACAATTTTAAAGCCTGCTTTATTTTTCAAAGACTATGTAACTGCCTATATAGTTATGCATTGGCCTGCCGTCAACATGGTCAGCAGTTCAAAGACACCAGCCTGCTCCTTAGGACGTGGCTTTCTACTCCCATAGTTACAGTCCCAGAAACTCACAAGGGCAGTTCTACCCTGTCCTATAGAGTTGCTATGAGACAACGTTGACTCAATGGTAGTGAGATAATACTTCATCACATTAATATAAATAAAATTTATCTACTTATTATTGCTCATTTAAGTTGCTCCATTCTTTGACAAAATCGATATTTCAGTAAGTACCCTTACAAACACACTTTTGGTTTATTTTGTTATGTAATCTATAAGGATAAAAATCCTAGTTATCTAACTACCCAAGGGTATAAAGAAGGAGCCCTGAAGGCATAGGTTAAGATCTAGGCTTCTAACCACAAGGTTTCTTCCTGCTCCAAGGGAGAGAGATGAGGCTGTTTGTTCCTATACAAATGTAAACCTCGGAAACCCTGAGAAGTAATTCTACACTGCCCTGTAAGACTGCTATGATTGAAGAAAGCTGATGGTGCCCAGATATCAAAAGATATAGCATCTGGGGTCTTAAAGTCCTGAACGTAAACAAGCGGCCATCTAGCTAAGAAGCAACAAAGCCCACATGGAAGAAGCATACCAGTCTGTGTGATCATGAGGTGTCAGTGGGATCAGCTATCAGGCATCTAAACCCAGAATAAAACCATACCCAAGGTGAATGAGCAGGGGGGGAGCATGGAGTGGAGACAATTGCACATCCCCTCACAGAGGCGTCACAGGGAAGAAATGAGCCAGTCAGAGTGCAGTATAGCACCGATGAAACACACAACTTTCCTCTAGCTCTTTGGTGCTTCATTCACCCCACTATCATGACCTCAATTCTATCTTACAAATCAGATTAGACCAGAGCAGGCACACTGATACAGATAAAAGCCCCAAACACAAGGAATCCAGGATAAATAAACCCCTCAGGGCCAACAAAGACAGTAGAGATACCAGGAGGATTAAGGGAGAGTGGGGGGAGAAAGGGGGAATCGATCACAAGGATCAACCTAGAACCCCCCTCCAGGGGGACGAATAATGGAAAAGTGGGTGAGGGGTGATGGAATACGATGTAAAATATGGAAATAATAATCTTTAACTTATCAAGGGCTCATAAGAGAGGGTGGGCAGGGGTAAGGGAGGGAAGAAATGGGGAGTTGATATCAGGGGCTCAAGTGGGAAGAGAATGCTTTGAAAATGATGATGGCGGCATATGTGCAAATGTGCTTGACACACTGAATGAATGTATGGATTGTGATAAGAGATGTAAGAGTCCCCAATAAAAGTATTTTTAAAAATTAATTAAAAGGTTACTATGATTTCAAATGGACTTGATGGCAGTGGAAAGAATATTTTAAAATCAAATTGCTTATAAGAGCATCATGCCAATTTACATGGCCACTAGCAATGTCTAAGAATAATTGCCTCTCTGCAATCTTTAACATTAAAAATTACTCTTCTTTTAATTAAATTTCCTAAATAAACTGTGTTCAAGTCACAGAATTTCAATCACTCATTCAACAAAAATTCATTAAGTGCCCACTTCAATGGGCTCTGGGAATACAGCCAAACAGACATGGTTTCCACCCACAGGAAGTTCACAAATGACTGAATCCTTGTACCAAATCCAAGGCTCTTCTGTCTTTGTGGGGCTGTGGAAAGACCACCTACCATTCTCCCTGCCATTGAGTGGATTCCAACTCATAGCCGATCTGTATAGGGTTTCCAAGACTGTAAATCTTTGCAGAAGCAAACAACCTCATTGTTCTTCATCAGAGCAGCTGATCGGTTTGGCCACCGGCCTTGCAGTTAGCTGCCCAGCACCTAACCTACAGCCTAGCCAGGGCTCCTTTCTGCACTAATACCACACTAACAATCCAAGCCACTGTCAGTTTTTGCCTACTTCCCATTGCTGGCTCTGTCAATCACTTGTCTATGCTCAAAGCTAAATTTTTTAACACATATTAGAGTATACCTTTTATGGCTTCCCATTGCTCTTAGAATACAGTCTACGTTCCTAGTCTTCAAGGCTGTCATGAGCTGACTCTTGCTTTCTTCTCGCTCTCTTATCACTTTTTGTTTCACTGTTCCACTCCTGCGAGCCTGATTTTATGACTCTACCATCTCCCTTGCCAATCCTTGGCATAGCTTTCTCCTGTTCAGCCTTTAGGTTCTCCTTGAAGAGGTACTTCTTCAGGAAAACCTTTCCTGACTCCTTAACTTAGTAATATTTCTCATTAAGTTTCAAAGCTTCTTGTACTTGGCCTGCAAAGGACTTATGACTCCGATACTTCATTAGTTATTTCCATAATTATTAGCTTAGAGACTGCCCTACTAGACTGGAAGCTGTGCAAGAGAAGGAACCTGAACTATCAAGGTGTCGCCAATATCTGAGCCATTGACATATCCAATACCCGATATGGTTGGCCCTCCAAAATGGTTAGCTGAGGGAATGAAAAGATGAACAGAAAAATGAGCAGCAACAACAATCATCTTGGAGGATAACTCGAATCTAAAGAACACTATGAAAGTAAACAGAAGTCAGAGGAGGAAAATGGGTTCCAGATCTGGTATTAGGAACAGTTGTGAAACCGTCATTGAAAGTGCTGATGGAAATGGAGAGGAAAGCAGACTTCCCAGCCCAAGCCCTCTGGTGTCATTAACTCACTGGAAATGTGCTATAAGTGTTGGCCAAGAATGACAAAAGTCAAAGTGAAAGGTTTTCCTGGTACTTCAACTGTCACAATAATAAGTTATTTTGAATGTAGCCAGCCACCAGGTCCTCACATTTAACTGTCTAATTTCGCCCTGCATACAGATGGAATAAGTATGGTGAGAGAAGCTGACTTATATGAAGAAGAAGATGGAAGGTTGGGGGAAGGTTCATTAAAACCTGCGATCTGCAGATGACACAACCTTGCTTCCGGAAAGCGAGGAGAACTTGAGGCACTTGCTGCCAAAGATCAAGGACTGCAGCCTTCAGTATGCATTGCAACTCAATGTCAGGAGACCAAAATCCTAACAATTGGATCAATAGGTAACATCATGATAAATGGAGAAAGGTCAAAGTTGACAATCAGTGTTCATGGAAGTAGCCATCAAAAGATCAAAAGTTGCATTGCATTGGGTCATGCTGTTATGCAAGACCTCTTTAGAGTACCGAAAAGCAAGGATGTTAACTTTGAAGACTAAGGTGCGCCTACCCGAAGCCGTGGTATTTACCATCGCCTCATAGGTATGTAAACATTGGACACGTGGTATTTACCATCGCCTCATAGGTATGTAAACATATGTAAACAAGGAAGACTGAAGAAGAATCGATGCATTTGAATTATGGTGCTAGGGAGAAAATATTGATTATCATGGGCTGCTTAAAGGACAAATCAATCTGGGTTGGAAGAAGTAGGGCCAGAGTGCTCCTTAAAAGCTAGGATGGGAAGACTCTGTCATATTGTCAGGAGAGACCCATCCCTGGAGAAGGACATCATGCATGGTAAATAGAGGGGCAGCAAAAAAGAGGAAGGCCTTCAACGAGATGGATGGACACCGTGGCTGCAACGATGGGCCCAGATGTGGGAACAACTGTGAGGATGGCCCAGGACAGTATGGTGCTTCATTCTGCTGTGTAGAGGGTCACTATGGGTCAGAACTGTCTTGATGGAACCTAGCCACCACAACAAACTGTCCCATGTAGTGGAATGAGCTGTCCAAAGCAACAAACTCAATGATGCAGCAATAACTAGTACAAACGTCCTGCTCCAATTCTGACTATCTGCCCTTAAGTTATTTTTTGTAGGTCCCAAATTAAATCTGAACAAACAAATAAAAAGTTTCCCCCAAAAAACCTAGCATTCCTTTCTTCCCTCTTCACAGAATTGCATACCACTTCAGTGCTCAGTGACTCCCAACCTGCAGTGTGAGTGATACAAGGTGAGTAAGTCACAATCCATATAAAAAATATATTAGTAAAGCGCTGAACCTATTTCTAGGCATCTTTCTTTCCAGAAAAGCAAGAGCTTATCTAGGCACAAACCCCACATTTTGAAAAGCTAAGCGAAGACAGAGAGGACAATGTTTTTTAAAATACAGTTTGACGCAGGTTTATTAGAAAAAAGCTCAACTTTTCTTAAAAGTGAGGATACACCTTAAAGTGTCATTTATTCAATCAATAAGCAAGCCCAAGGGCAATTATGTATAGTTTATGATACGGCAGAAGAGATGGTGATAAATGTTAACATCACAGAGGCAGGGGCATTCTAATGTTAAGAGTATATTATCATCTAAGCATGAGGTCCACAAACCCTACCCAGACAACAGAGAGACATAATCTTTTGAAATACTGCTCTCAGTAACAGAGAGGGAAAAAGTTCTAATTCCCATAATTAGGATTATTTCCCAACAATTTAAAAACAACATAAAATTTCCACAAGTATTATAATTCAAAGACTAACTCTATAGTATGAGAGTTGATATTTCCAAGGTGCTCATTTCTGGTTTTGATTTCGCCTCATTCCAAAAAATATCTTAAATGTCATAAAGATTAATATATTAATTAATATTAAAATATATACATATGAATATACATACTGTTTGCATCTGTGGTGCACAGGCCCTGCTGACCAGACACAGAAGTTCATGGACACGTGGTTCACTAAGGCCAGTCATCTTCATAAGCTCCAGTGGAGAAAGACATAAAAAGTCCTGAAGAGACAAAGAAAATAGTTTAAACAGAGTTGGTACAAAAATATTGACATTAATAAGAAACTTTCAGTTGATACTATCCATGTGTAGATAAAAGGGCAATTAGTTACAAATCAAAGATTCATGTGTTCCTTACAGCATTTCCCCCCTAAATATGGCTTAGCTAAAAAATGTCAGGAGACTGTCTTATCTCCAGTCATCTATGGTACAGTGAAAGTACTTGGAGACTCTTCTGTCCCTAGTCTTTGTGACTATGTCAATGGGTGGGAGCATGTAAATAGGTCAGGTATGCCATTCTTCTGGGTATAACATGAGCAATTTCAGAAGCAAGAATAGAGAATCCCACAACCACCACAAAAGAATAGCCAGGAGCAAAGTGCAGTCAAGATCGCTGTGTGCAGAGGCAGAAGAGGCTTGCTGAGACCATAAGAAATGGCAGAGGAGCAGTGCCAAGACCATGAGACAGAGTGGTGGCCTTTCCAGTCCATGGAATGAGTAATGCTCATTTAAAACTAGGAGATCACAAAGCATTTATTTGCTAATTGAGAGATAATGAAACTGACCTTGGAGGGCTTGGTACATGCTGGAACATGGATGAACTTGAAAACCACATGCTGGGTGAAATAAGTCGAAAGGACAAATACCGCATGACTCCACTTACTTAAAGTATTTAGAATTGATAGAATTTTGCAAGACAGATGACTTCATTGCAAATACCATTTTACAACAACACAAATGGTGACTATATCTGCAGACTTCTTCAGGTGAAATACACAGACATCAAAATGACCACATTTGTGGGAAGAAACAATGGAGAAGTTCAATATCAGCAGCTAAAACAGGGCAAGGCACTGACTGTGGACTAGACCATCAATTTCTCATGTGTAAGGTCACATTAAAGCTGAAGAAAACTAAAATAAGTCTACGAGAGCCAAAATACGACCTTTAGTGTATCCCACCTTAATTTCGAGAACTTTTAAAGAACAGAGTTGAAACACTAAAGACAGAAGACCTGAGAAGCTGGGAGATGAGATTAAGAACATCATACATGAGAAAGCAAAAGGCCATTTAAAAGACAGGAAAGAAAGAAAAGACCCAAGTGGATAGCAAAAGAGATTCTGAAACTTCCACCTCATTGTAGAGTAGCTAAGGCAAATGGAAGTCAAAGAATTGAACAGAAAATGTCAAAGAGTAGCTCAAGAAGACAAAGTACTATGATATGTGCAGACTCAGAGCTGGAAAACCCACAGGGAAGAAGAGACCCAGCATATTTTAAACTGAGAGAACTCAAGAAAATGTTCAAACTTCCAGTTGCAACATTAAAAGATTCTTAACAAAACACAAAAACCCAAACAAAAGACTGTTAAAAAAATTCTAGGAGCTGGCATCGACTGGAAGGGACCCAACAGAATGCACAAAATGTAGAATAATGTCATTAACATCACATGCAAGTAAAATTTTGCTGCTCATTCAATGACGGTTGCAGCCGTACATTGACAGGAAGCTGACAGAAGTTCAGGATGGACTCAAAAGAGTACTCAGAACAAATGATATCATTGTTGGTATCAAATGCATTTTGGCTGAAAGCAGAGAATACCAGAAAGATGTTTACTTGTGTTGTTTTTACTATGCCAAGGATTTGACTGTGTGGACCATAACAAACTATGGATAGCCTTGAGAAGAACTGGAATTTCAGAATATTTAATTGTGCTCATGAGGAACTTATACATGAATCAAGAGGCAGCCATGCAAACAAACCAAGGGAAGACTGCATGGTTGAAAATCAAGAAGAATGTGCATCAGTATTGTATGCCCTCAGTAACGAATTCAATCTGTATGCTGAGCAAATCATCAGAGAAGCTGAACTATATGAAGAAGCACGTGGTACCATGATTAGAAGACGTTTTAAGAACCTGCGATGTACAGATGATACAACCTTGCTTGTTAAAAGTGAGGAGAACTTGAAGCACTTGCTGATGAAGATCAAAACCCAGATCCTTACACCTGGACCACTAGGTAACATTGGGATCAATGGGGGGGGGGGCAGTTAGATGTTGTCAGGGGTTTTGTCTTGCTTAGAGCCACAATCAATGCTCATAGAAGCAGCAGTCAAGAGAATGAATGATGCATTTGCCTTGGATAAATTTAGTACATACGTTTTTAAAGTGTTGAAAAGCCAGGATGCTATTTTGAGAACTAAGGTGAACTTCACTCAAGCCATGATATTTGCAATCACCTCATATTCATGGGCAAGTTCAACAATGAATAAGGAAGATCACAGAAAAATCTACATATTTGCATTATGGTGCTAGTAAAGAATACTGAAACTACTGTCGACAAACAAATCTGTCTTGGAAAAGTAAAGCCAGAATGTTCCTTAGAAGTGAGGGCAGTATTAAAAAAAAAAGTGAGGGCAGCAAGATTTCTTCTCAGGTAACTCTGGACATGTTATCAGGAGAGACCAGTCTCTAGAGAACAACATCATCCTTGGTTACACGAGCAGCAAAAAAGAGGAATACGCTCAACAAGATGGGTTGACACAGTGACTGCAATAATGGGCACAAAAGCCCAGGAATAATTGTGAGTGTGGCTTGTGGTGCAGGAGCAAGCAGTGTTTCATTCTGCTGTGCACAGAGTCACTGTGAGTTGGAACGGATTCAATGGCGCCTAACAACAAGCTCCCTGTGAACTGGAGAAGACTCAACGGCAGCAGGTTTGTTTAGTTTGTTTGTTTTAAGGTAGAATTAAGATTAATTTGTATATGAAATTTCTCCTTGAAATCAATGGCCTTTTACCTGGCAGGTGACAATCTGCTGTCTGCTCAGACGATCACATAGGTCTTGTGATAAACCCACTCGTCTAAGTTTCTTGCTAGCCATGGCTCCAGGTCCAAGTAACCCTGAAAAAACATCAGAGAGCAGTATAAGCAATAGCTAGTGATCTATCCAAAATACAACCTAAAAACTTCTTCAGGCTTCTCCATATGAAAAAGGTTATGTGTACTATATGTACTATCACTGACAAAATGAAGGAAGGCTATGGTAGATATGTCTACGTCCTAATCTCCTAACCAAAAATTAAACCTGTTGCTTCTGAGTCAATTTTGACTCACAGCAACTCATTTGGGCAGAATAGAACGGCCACCTGTGGTTCCCAAGGCTGTAATCTTTAAGGAAGCAGACAGCTAAAACCACTTACCTTCTCAATTAGCAGCTGAAAATTTAACCACTTCACCACCAGGGTCCCTTCCTATTCCTCACAACCCATGAATGTGACCTTATTTCATAATAGGATCTTTGCAGGTGTAATTAATGTAAGGGTGTTGAAATGAGACCTCCCCCCTGGACTATTCAAACTGTCTAAAAACCAAACTCATTGCCATAGTGAGTTGATTCCGGCTCTGGAGACTCTGTAGGACAAAGAACTGCCCTCTGTGGGTTTCCAAGACTACCCCTTTACAGGAATTAAAAACCTCATCTTTCTCCAGCAAAGCTGCTGCTTTTTCAAACTGCTGATCTTGCGGTTAGCAGCCCAACCCATAACCACTAACTACTTGGATTATCCAGAAGGGTCCTAAGTCCAATGACATGGGTCCTTCCAAGAGACAGGAGACGCCAGGGACAGAGAGAAGAGTGCCATGTGAAGATCTAGGCAGAGATTGCAGTAAGTAGCTCTGAGTCAAGAAACACTGACAGTCACAGAAGCTCAAGAGGCAAGAAACAAAATCTCCACTAAAGCTTCTAGATCAGCGGCTCTCAGCCTGTGCGTCTCGATCCCTTTGGGGGGTCAAATGACCCTGTCACAGGGGTCACCCAATTCATAACAGTAGCAAAATTTCAGTGATGAAGTAGCAATGAAAAAATTTTATGTTTGGGGGGTCACCACAACATGAGGAACTGTATTAAAGGGTTTCAGCATTAGGAAGGTTGAGAACCACTGTTCTAGATGGTTGGAGAATAAATTTCTAGTGTTTTTCCCTAGCCCGTTTAAGGTAGTTTCTTACAGCGGCCCTGTATAACACTAAGCTGCTGGTGGTGTTAGCTGCCAGTTGAGTCAGCTCCAACTCATGATGACCCCTAATGCATAAAGGATCAGACTGGTGTTATTTATAGGGTAAAGAACTGATTGCATTTTGTAATGGTTGAGAATATGCACAGCAAAAACACCACCAATTCATGTCTACATGTACAATTCAGTAGCAGTGATCGGCCCCACACTAAGCCTACAAATCAGGTCAGCATCACAATCCTACCAGATGTAGCTTCCTAAAAAGGTGCTCTTCTCCCTAACCCCCCCCCCCCAAGTGCTCTCATCTCCTCACCCCCATCCTTTAAAACTCCCCAGGACACTTTTAGACCACAGGCTAAATTTCCAATTGTTTCTGACTGCATAGAGATCCTTCAGAAAACCAGTCCTTCCTTCACTTCCTCCTCATTCATACATCAGATTGTAAGGTTCAGAGACTGACCTTCCTGGCAAGGTACTTCTCTGGGAGTCTTAATTTCCTCATCTGGAAAACAAGGATAACTCCAGTAACTCATTCATAGTTGCACATGCAGGCAAAAGATGGACAGTGACCAAAGAAGTGCTGACTTTGAATTATAGTGTAAGTGAAGAATATTGAATATACACCACATCTGTCCTAGAAGAAAGGAAGTACAGCCAGAATGCTCCTTAGAAGCAAGGATAGAGAGACTTCAGTTCATGTACTTGGGACATGCATGGTATCAGGAGGGATCTGTCCCTCAAAAAAACCTTAAGAACACATTGCCACGGAGCTGATGCTGATTTACAGCGACCCAATAGGACAGAGTAGAACTGCCCCTGTGAGTTTCCAAGACTAACTTGTTAGGGGAGTAGAAAACCCCATCTTTCTCCTGAGGAGAGGTTGGTGGTTTCGAACTGCTGGTTTATGGTTCTATTTCCTACACTAGAGACTGTACATTCTGGTGTGCGTGTGTGCTAATGAAGCTTGCAACGATGTTCCAAAGGAGCCCAGAGGGTCCTGTGGTTACCTGCTCAGCTGCTAAGGTTGGTTGGAACCTACCAACTGTAAAGGTTGGTTGGAACCTACCAACTGTTCCTGGGGAGGGAGACGTGGCAGGATGTTTCCATAAACATCCGCCTTGGAAACCCTAGGATGCAGCTCTACTCCGTCCTACAGCGTTGCTCCGAGTTGGAATCGGCTATAATGGCACTCAGCAACAACGGGCATACGAAACCTCTCCCCTCCCCACCAAGAAAAGAAAAATCCTAGTCTGTGTACAATGAAGACAGTGAAGTAGCAGTTATCGCTAATATTTATTGAGTCCTTCTTACGTGCCACACGGTTGGAAGGGTTTTGATTTTACTCCATTTTACAGATGTTCCTGAGGCACTGAATTGAGAAACTGGCACAGGTCAAGCAGCTCAGAAATGGTGGCGTCCACACTCGAACCCAGTGATCTGACTCCCCTGCTACACCACACCGGGAGGGCAACCCCAAAACTTCCTCTCGTGCCTGAGCCCGTGTGCGTGCACTGCACGGTAAGGGCGAAGACAGTGGCAAAAACACCCCCCAGGGCTCCCTTTAGAGCTTACTTTAGCATCCAGAATCTAGGAACAGATTCCGGCCTCTCAACCTCAAAAAAAAAAAACTCATTCGCGCAAAAGAGAGCCCCAGATCCGCGCGGGTGTTGGTGAAGATCCCTACCAAAGAGACTCCCCGGTCACACCGAGACCAGCGCCCACGAGCCCAAGGAAGACGCGGGGAATAATAAGCACAATCCACTTTCCCACAACCTCCGCCTCACAAAACCTCCCGGTACCGGGTCTGCACCAGCAAGCTTTCAAAGTTTCCCCCCCCTTATAGAGTTCCCCGCCAAAAGAGCCGGCGGCAACAACTGAGGCGCTGATTGGGTCCTCTCCTTTCTCTATTAGCCAATCAGAGGCAGGAACGGGCATAGGCTGGCTCCGCTGCTTACTGGGAATTGTAGTTCACAGTCTATAGTCCGTCTTTCTCAAAAACAGATGAAAGATTATATTAGATAGATGATTAGATCGATAGATCGATAGATAGACAGACAGACAGACAGACAGACAGACAGACCAAACCCAACTGCTATTTAATCTATTCTGACTCACAGCGAACCTATAGGACGGGGCATATCTGCCCTTGTGGATTTGCGCGACTAACTGCTTACGGGAGTAGAGAGCCTCATCTTTCTTCAGTAGAGTAGCTGGTAGTTTCCAACTGCTGGCCTTTCGGTTAGCAATCCAACTAATAGCCCACTACACCTCCAGGATGCCTTATTCTATTAGAGACAGGTCTGAGAAAATTTCTCAGTATAGTGATTATCCAAATCCGGTAAGGGCACGCCACCAAGGAGATTTCGAAATAAGGGAAATTTTTGCTTAGAATTTTCTCTTCTTTTATGTATGCAATTTAAAATCGCTTAAAGGAGCAGAGAGACTTGGTAGTTATCTGAGGAATCGTTGAAAATCCCTCCTTCATATAAGAAGAGGGTCTTTTGTTTGGTCTGGTTTACTTTTTAAATGCAATCATGAGATCGTTTGGAAAATGCTGAATGAAATCGTTCAACCTGAAAGGTGAGAGTTTGCCATTAAAGAAGAGCTGAAGGAAACCAAGAGGAGAGTTAGTGTAAGGCGCCTGTGGCTAGAAGGAAGCCCAATACACTTCCTGGTATCAGATCACTCTCTGCAAAAGCCTTTGCTCTCCTCTCCCATACCCCAGTGTGTAGGTCCCCAGGGGGTGCAAACGGTTTCATGCTTGACTAACCCAAATGCAGAAGTCCTGATGGCTTGCTGGTTACACAATGCGCTGCTAAGGACAAGGTCTGAAGTTTGAAACCACCAGCCATTCCACAGGAAAAAGAGGAGGCTTCCTACTCCTGCAAAGAGTTATCATCTCCAGAAAACTCACAACTGCCCCCAGTTCCACCCTGCCCTATAAGGTCACTGTGAGTTGGAATTAACTAGACGGCAGTGCATTGAGGGGTGCTCTGAAGGCCTGACAATCTACAGCCAAGAAAACTTTTATTGATCAGTTCTACTTTGTAATGATGTTACTTTTGCAACAATGCTATTTAAGTACTAAGGTGTGCCTGACTGTCATTGAATAAGAAAAACCAAAGAATTGGTGCATTTGAATTGTGGTGCTAGAAAATAATAATAAAAGTACCACAGACTGCTAAAGGGTAAACCCATCTGTCTTGGAAGAAGTATGGCCAGAGTGCTCCTTAGAGACATGGAGACTTGCAAAGTCTTACATACTTTGGACATATTCTCAGGAGACACCAGTCCCTGGAGAAGGACATCATCCTTGGTAGAGGAGCAGCAAAGGAGGGCACGAGCCTCAAGGAGATGAACTGACAGCAGTTGTAACAATGCTTCCTTCTGTTGTGCATAGGGTGGTTATGGGCCAGAACTAACTAGATGGCACCAAACAACAACATGCTATGACAGGTTTGGGTGTGTTTTTTTAATTATTGTTGTTGTTTAATTCTTGACCTGCACCTTTTACTGGACAATGAGTCCACTGAACATGGGACCATAGCTCATTCAGCTCTTCTAACCCCTTCTTGTAAGACAGACGGTCCCTGGGTGGCATAATGAGTTACAAGTCGGGCTGCACCCCCAGGGAGGGGCAGGGGGGAGTTGGTGGTAGTGGGGAGGATAAAGCTGTCTACTCCCATAAAGATTTGCAGCTAGAAACTCAAGGCGCAATTCCACTCTGTCCTGTAAGGTCTCTGTGAATCAGAATCGACTCCATGACAGTTAAGTTTGGATTTGGTTTCCTAAGATAGGGCCTTGTAATACTATTCAATTAAAAGTTGTCGCGAGAAGAATGAGGAAATGAATGAACGGAGGGGGCGGGCGGGACAGAAAATTCCGATCGCACGTTTTGGTATCGGATTCAGAGAAATGTCAACGAGATTGATAACCACGGAGGATTCAAGTCTTGCTGCTGGAGTCATCCCTGGTGCCTGACGACGCTAGGAACAACAGAGGAACTGATACCAAGGGCTCGATAGAAACTAAATGTCTAGAAAATAATGATGGCAACATATGGGCAAATATGCCTGATACAATCCATGTATGGATTGTTCTAACATGGATTGTTCTAAGGGTTGTTTAAGAGTCCCCAATGAAATGCAGTTTTAATTAAAAAAAAAAAAGTTGACAACAAATGCTAGAGAGAAGACAGAAAGGGCGAGGGGCGGGGGTGCAGATCAAGAAAAGCACCTCTTCCCGTCTCTGGCTCGGCCGAACGCAGCACTGAAGCGGCTGAGAAGAAAAGCTCTGCGGTGTAGACAGGCAGGGTCCAAATCCCGGAAGCCGATTCACTCTTGCCCAGCTTCCCAGCTCTCCCCAGAGGGGAGCGCTGTCGTCACGTGCCCCAAACAAATACGGCGAATCAGCGGGTAGCTTTCCTCCCTTCAGCCAATGGGAGCAGCGGCTCTCGGTTGTCGCTCCACCCCCGACCGGCGGGGCCTGTCACGTGACTCGGCGCAAACATGGCTTCGCTGGGAGCCCGGTTGCTTTGGGCGCGGGCGGCAGGTGAGTGTGAGGCGTCTCCGAGCCGGCGGTTGCGTCCCTGCGCCTCCACGCCCACCGACCCCCGTTTCTGACACGGCTCTTCGATCTCCGGCCCTGGCCGAGGGTTCAAAATAGAAGGTTGTCGCCGAATTTCTCATCTTTGAGGGGCGACCACCTGGGGATTGGGAGCTGGACCGAGCATTACAGCTCAAAAGGGAACTGGAAGACAAGACAGTTGCAGGTCTTCGCTCTGCGCAAATACAGGGATGACTGTTAATTCAAATAAAGGGTCGCGGCGAAGGATAGCATCCATCCCGTGGGGAAAGGTGGCAGTTCTCAAAAGGAGAGAGTAGAGTGTCAAATGAAAGTTAAAATGAGCCTGGGGGAAGGACGTCGCACCTTTCCCAGTCGGGTTTGTAGTTGCTGGTTGAACTAGGAGTTGCTGCCCTTTCGTGTCACCGGCGCTTCTGTTGTTCCTAACAGGTAGTCTACAGATGAGAAAAATGTGCTTGGCTTAACTCACCCAGCGCCACCTCCCCTGTGCTCCGAAAATGCCTCATCCATTTGGAGAAGAGGAAGCTGCCTCCCAGAAGCAGCTTTGGGGCTTTTTCTGTGAGTGCCTGCGGAGGGGAGATTGGGAGCTGGCACAGGCATGTGTGCCACCACTACACCAGGGGCAAGGGGATATCCCGCAGAAGGTGGAAGACATACTTCGGGCGCTGGTGGTGTGTCCTGATTTGCTGAGGTAAGCGATCCCTCTTCGTGGCAGGCAATCACAGGACCGGAAATACAGGGTTCAAGGTTGAGGGTCAGATCAGTGTGCCACACTCAACTACCCTCTGAAAAATTAGTAGGGGCAGACTGTATTTCACACCCTCTGAAATGTTTTCTCTAAGATATGCTTCTTATTAGTCAACATTGATTTTGATTTTGGATTATTATCTGGAACTGGATTTAAGCCTGGCCACTAAAATGTGCCTAAAACTCTTGTTTCAGGAGTATCACCGAAAGCATTTTCATTACTTCCAAGAGGGCAAACCTTGCTGTCCTCTTGCTTATGCAATAGTTAATATTGTTGTAACTTTAACCAAATACTGAGAGTGAATGGCTTTCAATCTTTTTTTTTCTCCGGGTTTGAAATCATTAGAGTCACAAGAAGTTGCAAAGGAAAGACACCGAGTTCTGGGTACCCTTCCTCAGCTTCCTCCCCTGGGGTTATCTCATAGACTGTAGCTGTAGTATGATCTGATTGCAAAGCCAAGAAATTGACAGTAGCACATCACCGTGGACTCGACTACAGACCTCACTTTGTTCTCGCCTTGTGTAAAAGCTACATTCCTTGCTTGTGCGTGGCTCTAAGCAGTTTTATCCATCTATAGATTCATGTAACTGCCACCACAATCGATTTCATCACCACAAAAGAACCCCCTTATTCCCAGGGGCTGCTCTGTGTATTGCCACTGCACCTCCCTCTCTGTCCCCTGGTGACCACTAATCGGTTCTCCATCCTAGATTTTTAATGAAGTTCATCTTTAATTAATTAACAACACGTTGTAGCAGACTGGAATGTAGTTAGTCAGCCCCTTACTTGCTGTTCAGTTAGACATAGTGTGTTATGCGTTGGGCTGTGATCTGAAAAGTCTGCAGTTGGAGACCACCAGAAGGGGCTTTCTACACTCATAAACAGTTACAGTCTTGGAAGCTCAAGGGGCAGTTCTCCGCTGTAGAGGGTTGCTATGAATCTGGGTCAATTCTGATGGCGGTGGCTGTTCTGTTACACTGTTTAAGTGACGTGTCAGCACACATACTTCCTGCCATCGAATCGATGCCACCTTATAGGAAAGGATAGAAATGCCCCCTGAAATTTCTAAGACTGTAACTGTTTATGGGAATTGAAAAGCCCTGTCTTTCACCTGTGGAGTGGCTCGCGGTTTCGAAATGCTGATCTTGCAGTGGGCGCCTCCTGAGCACACCTGTAGGAGGGAAACAAGTGATACGTGATTGTTTTCTTCCTTTAATTTTTCCCCTTAAATTTGAGTTCTAAACATGTACTGTCTAATATCAATTACTAGTCAAAGAAGGGCTTAAGAATTTCTTTACTACTATTTTTTAATTGAAAAATTTTTTTGTAAAGTTCTTTCTAAAAGACTACTCCATTTCTCTAATCAAGAATATACTTTAGTTAGCCTTAGCTATTAATGATTTCCTATGTGTTTTTTCATTTATTAAAAAAATAATGGGGAGTAGATAAGGAGGTAAAGACGGGATTGATCAGTTTTTTTAAATAGAAGATGTTAGCCCTGTTTGGGTTTTAATGTGTTATAGAAATGTCATAGACATTTGAAGATTTTTATTAGAGAAGTACCTTGCTTATTCAGGTATAGTCTAAATCTTGGATCACAAAAGAGAAATGTGGTCGACACTCATTTTTAAGGGTAACACTCTTATCACACTTAACAGATGTGGACAGGATACCAGCCCTCAAAAATTCGCCTGGGTCTGGCTTCTTGTCTTGGAAGAATGGTTCATCCAAGGAAAGGTGAGTAGGGCTACATCTCAGTTTTTCTCCTATGTCTGGGGTGCAAAAAAAACTTAGAAGTAATTGCAGAATTTACTTTTTGTCTTTGATTCGTTTTTGTGAAGTATAGTGGGATAAGAGTTGGGCTGCTAACCCCAATGTCTGTGGTTCAAACCTACCATCCACTCCATAAGAGGCAAATGAGGCTCTCTGCTTTAGTAAAGATTTACAGCCTCAGGAACCCTATGAAGCAGCTTGGCTCTGCACTAGTAGTGTCATTATACATTGGAATTAACAGGAGTTTTATCATACTTTAGTTTCGACACAGAGAACAGCTTAAATTGTTACTGTTATCTCCTTACCTAAATTAATTCATCAATTCACTAATATACACTAACATACAAGGGGACTTTAAAACATTCGTGGAAAAAATGAACGAAAAGATCATGGAATTTTTCCACGCATTTTTTTTTTTTGCAAGCCATTGGAGGTGTTGCCTTTTTGTTACATATTGCTTGCTTTGTGCCTTATGAGGACTTTCCAAAACTCAGTGAAAGTGATGAGGTAGGGAGTGAGGTGACGTTTGGACCTATTCAACACTCAAGTAAAGGAAAATGGTCAGAACTTCAATTGCCTTCCTTCCAAATATTTTACTTTTAATAGTCTTGTACAGTGCAATTTCATGTATTTTAAACTCCATTCATTAGTAATTAAATAAGTCAGAGCAGTTGAAAGAAAAGTTATTAAACATAAAAAATGCAGTGAGAAAATGAATAATTCAAGAGTATTTGTTAAAAGTCACCTATATGTGATGAAACTGTCAATAATTATTTCAAAGCCAGAAGAAAATGTAAGAGACTAGGGAAACTAGATTAATGGAAACAGAACAACCAGACCAGAAGTGATGAAGCTATTCATACATTGCGAAGAATGTAACCAGTAATCGGTGTAATTGAATAATTTGTGTAGAAATTATTGGCTGAGAACCTAAACTGCTGTGTAAATCTTCAGCAAGCACACAATTTTTTAAAAATTTATTTTTAAGACAACTTGTAAGGAAATACTCCCCGCCCCCCTTGAAATAAAACTGACATGAAAAGCCTTTTTCTGAGAGTGTAATTAAGGAGCCTGCGTGTCTGATAATGGCGGTTGAATAATTTGGAAACAAATAATGATGGAACCAGTGTAAAAACTGTTGAACTGACAAATGTTACATCTATACAGTAAAGCAGGGTTTTCTTTTTTAATCCATAAGATTTTCAATAAATCACCAGGTCTTTCTTCCAAGTCCACCCTGGGTGGACTCAAACCTCCAACCTTTCAGTTAGTAACCAAGGGCATTAACTATTGGTACGCACGCGTCACTATGTGTTGGAATTGGCTTAATGGCAATAAGTTTGGAGTGTGGTGTTTTTTTTTATTGATTCTTTGTAGATTTGCTTCCTCCCATCTATTAAGCAATCCTGTACAGTGAGCATGAGGACTCTTCCCAGTGTTCCTTTTTCCTTCATGTTTTATAAGCAGCAAGGCAGGGAACATCCCTGCAGCCCAATCTCTGATAAAGAGGCAGAAAGCAAATTATGGATGAAGAAAAGGAAAAATGTCTTGGAAGTTCAAAGGATTTTACAAGATCTGATTTCCAGCCCTCTGTTGGAACCGTAATTCTCTTGCCAAAAAGAGTAGAAGGTGCTCTTAACTCCATCATTTCATTGCCACATCTTTGAGTCTCATCATCAGCTGATAGATGATGCCTTGCAGGTTGCATCGTACTAGAACTTTCTAGAGTAATGAATGACTCTACTGTCAGCGTATTTCGGGGCTCATTCTCCCCTGACTTATTTATAATCTGTGTCTAACAGCCCAAGTACAACTGTATTGCAGAATGGCTGTGACCCGAGAGTTACTATAGCACATGAAGAGACAATAGTTTTACTCCCCAGTAAATAGGAACTCACCGCAACAATAAAGTTTGATAGTAAAGAAAAGGAAAGAGGAAATGACAGTTTCATCTAGTATGTAAAAAGGAAACTTTTTTTATATTTTTTTATTAACATATATCATTCCATAGTTCAATCACATCAAGCAGAATGGTACAATTGCTACCACAGTCTGTTTGCAAACATTCTTTTTCTCCATAGACTCCTTGACATCGTCTCCCCTTCACCTCCCCCACACTGACACCACCCCCGCACCTCCACCAGTCCTACTTGCTACTTGCTGCCTCTATAGGTTCATCAATCCTGGGTTTAATATTAAAAAATAACAAACAAAAAAACATATAACACAACTTCAAGAGGGTGACTTCCAATGACATGACACCTATGAGATACATCCTACTATGGAAAAGCAGAAACCAAACAGAACAATACAAACAGGATACAGATGATTTAGGAAACCAGATCAGGTCCAGCATGTCTTGTAGGGAGGAAGAAGGAAACTTTTTAAAAATCATTTTATTGGGGACTCGTACCACTCTTATCACAATCCATACATCCATCCATTGTGTCAAGCACATTTGTACATATGTTGCCATCATCATTCTCAGAACATTTCCTTTCTACTTGAGCCCCTGGTATCAGCTCCTCATTTTTCCCCTTCCTCCCCCAGGCTCCCTCCTTGAACCCTTGATAATTTATAAACTATTACTATTTTTCATGTCTTACACTGTCCGATGTCTCCCTTCACCCACTTTTCTGTTGTCTTTCCCCCAGGGAGGGGGTTATATGTAGATCTTTGTGTTCAGTTCCCCTTTTCTCCCCCCACCTCCCCTCTCCCCTCCTGGTATCGCTACTCTCTTTATTGGTCCTGAGAGGCTTATCTGTCCAAAATTCCCTTGTTTCCAGCTCTTAGCTGTACCTGTGTACATGCTCTGGTCTAGCTGGATGTGTAAGGTAGAACTGGGGTCATGATAGTGGGGAGGAGGAAGCATTAAAGAAGTAGAGGAAAGTTGTATGTTTCATCCATGCTATACAGGAAAAAGGAAACTTTTTAAAATCATTTTATTGGGGGCTTGTACAATTCTTATCACAATCCATCCATACATCCATTGTGTCAAGCACTTATGTACATTTGTTGCCCTCATCATTCTCAAAACATTTGCCTTCCACTGAGCCCTTAAAAAGGAAACTTTTAACAGAAGCTGGAAGACTTAGAAAAGGACAGGTAGACAAGTGCTAGAAGATGGGGACGCAGCCAGTGTAACGGCTGGCTTCGTAGAGCCACTGTAAGAATGCCATACCTGTGAGTCAACCAGCTGTAGTACCCACACTATTCCTCCGGGTCCTTGAGGCTTCCTCACCTCCCCCACTATCATGACCCCAGTCCTGCCTTTCACTGTGGGCTAGAC